GTGTGTGCGTGTGTGTATGTGTGTATGTGTGTGTGTGTGTGTCTGTGTCTGTCTGTCTGTCTGTGTGCGCGCGTGTCTCTGTGTGTGTGTGTGTGTTTATGGGGGGGGAGGTCTATCGGCGATACATTCGACGACCACTGTGTCAGCTGCACTTAAGCTTCCTATTCAAGGTCCTCCCGTCCTTCCACGAGAACATAAAGAACCTATAACCGTCGATTCATCGCTTTTCGACCCCAGGCAACGTCTCTGTCAAGAAAGGCCTTATTGAGCTTAGGGTTTGGGGCTGGCGTTAAGGTTTTAGGGAAGGGTTGAGGTTTAAGCACTGGTACTGAGAAGCTTGTTGATGCGCTTGTAATGAAATGTCACTCTGTCATATCGACCGCGAGACTGGTGACATCACCTATGGTAAGACCTATAGCTATTTTCTGGGTTCATTTTTTTATTTGGGTTTCCATAAGGTATAGCACCGAAAAGGAACTACAATGGATAGTATAGGCGACCGCAAGATGAACTTGACAATGCAAGTTAGTTTTCATGAGCACCATAACGCAACGACGGTACAACAACCGAGCTACCTAGCTACTGCCTGTACAAGTTACTGTAAGTACGCCTGACATTAGAAGCAGTCATTGGAGCTTAGATCTCTATGCCTCGACTGATTTTTTCCGATCGCTGTGTCAGAAGATAAGAGATCGGAAGGGCGGAGACGAGCAAGGTTTAGGGTTTAGGGTTTAGGGTTTAGGGTTTTGGGTTTAGGGTTTGGCCACCAACAGCGTATGGTTTGCGAGTTGCCACGTCTCTCATTCTAGTATCATACTGGTGGAACGAGACTTCTGATGGGACATCTTCCTTAAGGTTACAATCCTATTCACCGAGTCAGGGCCATAACCTGAACATCGTCCTAAAGCATCGCACCTGAATCCGTTCTAAACCTGAAGCCCGAAACCCGAAACCCCGACAACAGCCGTATGACGCCTAGAAGTCCCTGCCAATACCCATAGAAACCATTGCAAGAGCCCTGCTTAACTAACCCTTTCTAAGTGCAGAAACCTTCAAAAACACGAAAACGAATCAAGCGAAGATCAAAATTTGTGTCAGACCTAAGAAACCTTTTGCCCTGGGTGGGCTCCAGGTGCTGCTTGCCGCGAAGGCGGACGTCCACTCAGTGGCTGCCACGGGGCAGCCATAACACTGGGTTTTTGCATAGGGTTTGGGGTTCTACAAGGGTTTTTTGAAGCTTCATGGGGGTTCTATATGGGTTGGATTGGGTTGTGTTTTTGCGCCTCAGGGTTTCTATCTTGGCTTTATAGCAGTGTTTTCAAGAGGTGCCAGGCTCCCCAGACCCTATTCCATTGCTAAAACCCCTACATTGGGGGTTTTCAGGTCTTTCTTTGGTAGCTTTCACCGGATCTTGGCTCTACGGCTTCCTATATCTTTTATGGTGCAGACAGCGTGTTTTTTTATGAGAAGGGCCTGTTTTTGCGGTGCTGGGGTTGTTGTTAGCTAGGTTGTTCAGGTCGTTTTTAGGGATCTCGAGCTTTAGGGAAAGGCGGCAGGAATTGGAGATTTGAAGTGTGCTTAAACCTGACCTTCACCCCAAATAGCCTACATTTTTTCAAGACGATATAAGAGAGAATCACTAAGGGGAACCCTAAAACGTAGGTTTCTCAGGTTCCAGGTAAGCCCTATAACCCTATATTCGGGTTTAGGGTTTAGGGTTTAGGGTTTAGGGTTTAGGGTTTAGGGTATATATACATATATATAAGCCCTCGGATGAAGACTCGAGTTGGCGCCGAAGCCAGCAGTGCGTCAGTGCCGACCCTGCGTGCTTGAACGCTCGGAAAAGCAGGGCTTGAAAGCTGCTGCAGGTAGCGCACTCGAGATTGTCGCGGAAATGAACGACCGCCATTGTCTCTTGTGCTAGAGGGCGCCTGGAAGCGTGGAGGGCTGATGCAGCGCCTTGTCTCCGCCAATGCCGCCCAAGCATCGTGTGGAGGCCGCCTCCAAAATCAATCCCTGAAGACAAGCAGGATCGCCGCTTCAAGCAATGGGGCCAGTGCGTGCATTGTTACAGTCGCTGGCTGTTGGGCAGAGGCCAGAAGCGCCCACTCCCTCGCGAGGAGTCAGATGGAGAGGGAGAGATACTTTTAGGGACCTTGCCTACTGTAGAGGCCTAAATAATTACCTATATCATTTTGGCGTTCCTGTTTATACTTGTACTGTAAAGGACCCCAAAGCCCGATTCTAATTATTAAGGCTTACTGCTTCTACATTATCCTCCTCGAAAGTCTGACGATGCTCCAGCCCCCCTGAACTTATTGGCGCTAAACGGGGGAGCGGGAGAGTGGATCCCTACCGCAGCCTTTTACGTCCGAAATATAACCCCCCCATAATTTTACCTCCATGTTTTACGTTTCCCTTAAGGAGCAGTAGAAGATCCCTTAACCCTAGGCCCTAAACCTACACTCTAAACTCCAAACCCCAACCCTGAACCCTGAGGCCCTTACAAGGAATCACCAGTAGAAGATCTCTTTATTAACACCCTACACCCTAACCCCCAACCCCCAAACCTGAACCCCTGAACCCTAAACCCTAAACCCTAAACTGGGAAAGCCCGCCCTCCGAGTCTGTTGGTGTGGGTCTCCACCCGCTCACCGGCGTCGCTTCCTTCGCGACCTCGGACACGCTGACCGCGATGCGCTTCAGCGTAATATGGGGGCCTAAATAACTACCTACCCTTTTTTTTGGGGGGTCCATTTCAAAATTACAGTATAATATACCCCCAAACCCTAATTATTCTAATTATGAAGGCCCCTGCATGATCATTGGTTTGAGCTTGGAGATTTTGTTCGGTTGTACTGATGTTTAGGGTCTTTTTGTTGTTTGGAGGCTTGGGTTTTGGGATTGGGGTTGCGGTTTACGGTTTTTCTTCGGCTCAGTAGTGAGTATAGTTAAGCCTTTTGGGCTCATATTATAAGCGTGGGGGTTCATCGGTTGTTATACATGCGGTTATAACTCGTCTAACTATAATCATAGCCCATATTCTCCCTAGGGCTCCAAGTATACAAATAGTACCTACTTTGGGGTCTGAAGTCTGTAAGTAGTACCTACTTTGGGCTATTTGGAACTATGGGACTTCCAACCCCACTTCTGACTACCCGTGAAGCTCCAGAGCCCGCCATAAACATGGGTAATTCTCTAGATTCGGGTCCCGTTTTAGGTCACAGCACTCTTTTTCAAAAAGGACCCTACACGTGACCGTAATGTAGGGAACTCGTATGCAGGAGCCTAAATAATTACCAACACTATTTTGGGGTTCCTTATTTATTGCATACAATATCCCAAAACCCTATTCGAATTATTAGGGCCCCTACAGTACCCCTTTGATTTCATTACGGGGCGCTTTGGTTATCTGTGCACACTACTCGCTCCAGGTGTTGCAGGTCAGTACAGCGGCAGGAGCAAGAAGAGAAACGCATTGGGCTCTTTTGTCGAAGAGGGGACTGCAGATCGGCGGCCCTACCATTGCGCGTGTCGGGAGGTTTTGCTACAAACGGCTGGGCTTGTAGTAAGCTCGCAGCGGAGAAGGCTGTTGGCATTCAGACATGAGGCTTTCAGTGCTGGGAGCTTCTCTGCCAGGCCACATCGAGGGGCTCTGTCCTTCGGCTCTTTTTCGGGGAAGGCTGGGGGTTTAGGGTTTAGGGGTTTCGTTTGTGGGTTTACATGTGGTTTAGACTTGAAGCAATTCTTTTTAACAATTATGATGCCGAATTCCTATGTTTGAGGTAGAGCCTAAACTCCGACACCTTGTAATTTGCATCCAAAACCTCATCGCTTTCTGTTTTAGGTCTTTGAGGTTTAAGGTTTTGAGCCTGAAGGCTTCTGTGTCCTTTCATTAGGGGTACCTTGATTTGCAAACTTCGGGATCCGTCCGTGACCCTTCATCCTGCCAGCTCTCCCACACGCAAACCGATAACGTCGCAGCACTCCGCCGTCTATTTGGGCGTTTCTTGAGTTTAGGGGGTCCCTCCTCGTGGAGTCGTTACTTGGAGGTTCATGGGTAGCTATACATATATAAGTCGAGTTGCAAGTAGGGTAATTATTTAGACTTACGTCTTATAATCCATATTGCAGGGGTTGTACAATAAACCCATTCATAGCTACCCATGAACCTCCAAGTATATTACGCACAACGCTAAACCCTAAACCCCTAAACCCTAAACCCTAAACCCTGAACCCTAAACCCCAAACCCCTAAGCCCTATAAACCCCTAAACCCCTAAACCCTAAACCCCTACAACCCTAAACCCATCGAGCTGCTCGTCGGTAATCGTTGTAGGCCCCACTTCCAGAATCGCTGGCATGGCTCCGAGAATCCCCGTACTTGG